GTAGTGGGGAGGTCATGTGATGTCATGATCCCTGCTTGAGATGAGATTTGAGAACTGTACCACCACTTACTTCAGATTGAGTTTTGGTAACGTGCGAATGCACATATTAATAAATACTCTTAACTATTAATTGGTATTGTTTATTTAAAAGGCCCTACCTAATTCTAACATTTAAAAAGCTTTTTTTTATTTTTAAAATCTTCATTGTAAAATTACACAGTGCAATGTAATGTTACCAGAAAATTTTATTTATATTACACGAATTGTAATTCTACTTCACTGTTTTCTAATTTTAAAAATAATACTTTTCAATTTTACAAAAATGAGACTGATGTATAAAAAAACAACAATGTCCTTCATATTTATTTTTACTAATTTTTAGTCTATGGTTGTTTATTTGTAATAATAAATTCGAGGCATAATTTATCGTTTATAAATTTTAATATTATGCTCAAACGATCATTTTGAAATCAATATATTTGAATGAGTATATGTTAGATTTTTCCATCAATAAACAGCATAAAATAACACAATTAATGTAAATTATAAATAATAAGCCGTAATGCTCAATCACCACATAGGATTAGCTTATAAAAATAATAAGATGTTGAATCACCTATCGGTCGTACGGCGTAGGACGTTAGGTATCGGTCTGGCAAGCGCGCGGCTCGGGTTCGGTTCTTGGTTAGGGTATACATTATTTTCACTTTAAATCATCTGAGTTGAACAAATTAGGTCTACGTGAGATACCAAATCTAGTCAGCGCTTCATAACAATAAAATGACAACAAATATTAAATCAAATCTTTTTTTTTTTTATTTCAATTCAAGTAAAATTCAAGGAAAGTATTGTAATTTTACAAACTTAGCTAATCTAAAAATATTTTTAAAATTACAAAACCTTGTAAAATTAGTAACCTCACATATGTTTTGCAATATTACTACCCGATTGTAATTTTAAATAAATGTTTTGCCTATTAGCTTCCAATACATTTCTTGTAAAATTACAATAGAAATTTTTAACAGTGTGGCCAAGTTTTCTTTTCGTAAGTTCAATAAATAAATTACTTAGGTTTTATTACATTAATGAATATTAATTCGCATAGAAAAAATTTGATAATTGTAATTATAACTCTGTCAAATTTGTGAAAAATGGTATAAAATAAGATCTAATTTAGATCGACTGAAAGAATAAATGTTTCATGGAATATCATCAAATTTGATAAAGTGTAATATCGCAATAAGATTCATAATTGTATACAAATTTAATTTTTTTAAATAAATCTGAAGTTAATAGAATTTTATAGAATATTTTAAAGAAACAATATATATTTTTCAAAACAAAAAACAAAAATTTCTGAAATGGCCATATCAGGATATATGTAAAAAAAAAAAATTAGAAAATCGGTTGACCTTAGAGGCCATCCCTGCAACCTCCTGCTAAGTCCATACCTAAACGCTCAACATTTCACTTATTTTGTTTTTGAGCTCTACGAGCTCAAAAGTACAATTTCTGTGTTCTTTTGAGTTCTCCGAGCTCAAAGAGAGCTAGCTAAAGCTTCTTTATGCTTTTGAGCTCTTCGAGTTCAAAAGTCTGATAGAAGTTTCATAAAACACTATTTTTTGAATTTTCAAACCGCAATAACTTTTGAATGAATCAACCGATTTTTACACGGTTGGTGGCATTCTACGCAGTTTTTGAAACCTTATAACGGATTTTTAAATATAAATCGATCGAACGAGGAATTTCGAAGTAATTCCAAAAAAACACTTTTTTTGAAATTTTTCGTTTTCGATAACTCTCGAACGAATCAACCGATTTTGACGGGACTAGTGGCAATCGACGTGGTTTTTTAAACTTAAGAGCGGAATAGTTTTTGGAATTGATCGGTGCAACCGTTTAGAAATTATTCCAAAAAAACGATTTTTTGAAAATTTTATTTTGTGATTTCTCAAAATCTAGCGAACCGAATTGATTCAAATTTTCACGAAATTTAATGGCAATGATACTCTTTGGATCGCCACCTATTTCAATCCGATCTGTCAAACCGTTCAAAATTTATAAGAAGTTTACACACACACACACACACACACACACACACACACACACACACCACGCGGAATAGGCAGGGTCAAGTTTCCTGTGACCTTAAAACGTCGAGATCTGATGAAAACTCGATTATCTCAAAACGGGGTAAAACCAATAACTTCCCGATTTTTGAAAATGTTAAATTTTCTTAGGGGGAAGTTACAAATTTGAAATGAGCATTGAAAGTTTCAGTTAAAGAAATTGCAGGTCTCATAAGTGAAGAAATCTGCATAGCTTCAAGTGCGACGAATTTTTCCGTTTATTAAAATTTTTTCAGTGACATTAATTTTTTATAGAAAATTAATTTTACATGTTCTTTACGAATTCTATTTAAAGATGAGCCGAATTTAATTTCCATATATTAAGTGTTTGGAAAATGCATTATTCATTTTAATCTGTTACATTCCTGCGATCTCGCAATAAGAATAATTAATCGCTTAATGTGATTAGCAAAAACACATGTATGTATAATTCTTAGTCCTTTGACTAAATAATTACATGAAAAGTTAAATTTTGGAAACCTTATAGTGACTTTTTTCCTGCTGCCAAAGAAACGATTGTTGTAAAGAAATTTTTAGTAAATATTATTGAAGTTTAATAGACATGTCACGTTTATTTACCAAGATTGCATCATGTTGCATTCACTATTTATTTTTTTCCATGCATGTCTTAAATTTCATGTTTCAAGAAGCCTTAGCTTATAAACAAACACATTTTTTTACAATCTACTCACCACTCTGAAACAACCTGCATACGAAGTCAATTATCGCGAAATTCGTTTTTAGCCGATATCTAATGATCAAAAAGAAAAAATATTTAAATCAGTTGACCTTGGAATTTCCTGTTTTTCTTGAGATTCCATCAAATTTTATATCTGTACACTATATAAAAATTTTAACTTGACTCAAGAGCAAAAGACTTGAACCAAGAACACTAATTGGAAGAAAATGAATTTCTTGAGTCAAGAGGAAAAATTCTTGAGTCAAGATAATTTTCTTAATTCAAGAGAATCTATCTTGACTCAAGAATTTTTCCTCTTGACTCAAGAAATTCATTTTCTTCCAATTGGTGTTCTTGAGTCAAGTTAAAGTTTCTATCGGTGTAGGAACCGTATTTGAGAGTATGACTTTTTTTACAATTAACGACCCCGCACTCTTATATGGGGGAGGAAGTTCGTAAGATCCTATTCGAAATGATTTCTACATTATAAAATAAAAGATTCTTACACAACTTCGAGTCCATAGAAACTATTGTTTGGAAACGAGAGTTTTTCATTGTTAACGCCCTCGCAATCCCTTTTGGAGTTGGAATTTGATAAAATCCATTCTTAGCTGAATTTAATATATTACACGAACATTTTTACTAAATTTGGAGTCAGTAGAAGTTACAATTTGGAAATTAAAATTTAACATTCTAAAATCCACTTTCAAATCCTTATTATAATAAGGGTGGGTTGTCGTAAAATCTACTTTTAGTGATCATTTCTGCATCATATATAGAAGATTCCTACCAATTTGGGAGCATATAAAGTATTTGCTCGACTCATACAAAGTACACGGTTAGAAATTTGTTGCGTTAATAACTCAATAACTATAAGTGATATCGACAATCAGAAAAAAGATCCTTAAAGAGGAGGAAATTTCTGAAAAAAAAATCTCGACTCCCGGAACTCTAGCTCCATAAACAATCATTTTTATTTAATGTTGAAAATGGGTTTGCGCGCGGCTGCTGTCCTACTCGGCCTCGATGCGCCCGTGTGTATATCAAGCAAGTTCAAAAACTAAGAGAATGATTTACTTGGATTAAGAGGCTTTTTTCTTCACCTAAGTTGGTAAGCCTGTTGGAACTATTAGTGAATATTTGCTTAAGGTAGTTGTTGCGTGATAGGCATTTCAACAGAAAGTTATGAAATTTTTTTTATCGAAAGATAAATATATTAATAATTCACTACCAAAATTTCAGATCAATTGACCGCACTGTTTTCGAGTAATTAATTTTCGAAATCGCATCTTTTACACGTAAAGGTATAGAGAGATGGTAAAGTTAGTATGAAATCTTCCGTACCACTCGAGTGGGCCAAAGATTTCATACTAACTTTACCATCTCTCTATACTTCTGCGTGTAAAAGATGCAATTTCGAAAATTAATTACTCGAAAACGGTGCGGTCAATTGATCTGAAATTTTGGTAGTGAATTATTAATATATTTATCTTTCAATAAAAAAAATTTCATAATTTTCTGTTGAAATGCCTATCACGCAACAACTACCTTAAACCAAGATTGACCAATACAAGAAAAAAATTTACTTACCTCAAGAATATATTTTATCTTCAGTTGAATATACTTGGATCAAGTAAATATTACTTGACTCAAGATGACTTTTTTTTCTGTGTACAAGTCATCAAGTCAGATATAACCTGATGTAGCCAATTTTTATATCAGGCTGTATATGGGTATATAAGGACATATCAAAAATGATCTATGCTCATATTAATCAGTAATAGGCTAGAAAATTAAAATCTTTATCTAAAAAATTAATTGCGTTCGTTTAGTCGTTTTACGTCACTTCTGTAATCTTTTTATTTGGTTGTTGATTGGTCGACTGAGATAATGGCGGGATTTTGAAAAAATAAAGGCGAGTGAAGCGAGCATGTTATATCTAGTAAAAGTAAATAGTAACTTGAAATGACTAGTTTTCAGATTTAGACTTAAAAAAATTTTTTTTAATGCATTATTTCAGACTAATCTTAAAAAAACTATTAAAAAAATTCCGAATTCTTGCTTGTCTTTAAATCGCTTTACGGACTTGAAAAAATGTCATTAGGCAATGTCATCTTTGCTAGCTCGTTTAGATAATTTTTCTGTTTTTCAGTTTGAATTGCTTACCATTAGTTAAAGCAATCAAGCTGTTTTCAACTTTTAATTTCATGAAATCTTCAATTATCTACAAAATTTTATAAATAACCACCAATTTATTTTTTAAAAGTATTTTCCCTGGATAAATTCATTCACACACTCATTTTAAAAAATTCTTCTTCATGACATTAGAGTTAAATAAAAATAATAAATGAGAAAATGAAACCTTTTGAGACTTGCGTGCTTGCCGCCATTAGCAATTTTGGACTTCCGGTCACTTCCAACAGTACTAGCTTCACTATTAATACTATGAAGACTATCGTCTTTGGTAACTCTGGAAGTATGAAGCGTTGACTTTCTGGTCGTTGTACCATTCCCATTATGCTTCGGACTAATATCATTACTTATTTCACTTTGATGGTATCGGCCATTATCTCGAATTGTTTCATCCTCGATCCTCATCGAGGATAATGTCGTCGTGATCATTGTCGTTGGTGATGTAGGTATCGCGATTCCCGTAGTCGTGCTCGTTGATATCTTCTTAACGCTACTATTATTTTTATTATTTGATATTGTTTTATTGCCATCGGCTACTCGGTTCGGTGCTCCAACTGTCGCCAATCCGTTCCGCATCATCTCCCCATGATTTTGTTGAACTCTTGTCAGACGACTGCAACTTTGTGTCGATTCTACCGGCGGAGGTTTGTCCCCCATGGGCAATACATACGAGAGCATCGTATTGACTAATTACTGCAAAAAAAAAAGAACAGAACGCAATCTATTAATAAAAACTAATCGTCAATCATAATCATTGTTCAATTTCAATATAAGTAATTTATATTAGTTTTTATTTTATAAATTAAATTGTCACATTCTAAATCTTACAGTTAACTTCCGGTAAGCAAAATCCATTGTCATGCGACGTTCAATTTGCACGATTATTTATGTTCAATGAACCATCATGTCTATAATAGTAAATTAGAACTATAGTTTAACGATTGTATTTTTTTATTTTAAACTTTGTACACAAAAGTTTTGTAATAGCATCGTCATCGGTTCTGTGTATCAATTTAATTCTCGACTAGATATATGTAGAATGACGTAAAGAATCTAATAATAATACATCACACAGATTGTTTATTCTTTTAATCATCTGATTTATTATTAGAAAAATGATGAACAATTTTCTTTGTTTTTTTTTTTTTTTTTTTTTTTTTTTTGTATTTTTGATTGATGATCTCAAGACATACTCTACTCTAGCCGTCAAGAAATTAAAAAGTGAATTAAAAAAAAAAAAACTGATTTGATTTTTATTTTTTTTATGCTAAAAAAAAATACTAATAAAATGTGACTAAAATATTGAACGAAAAATCTAATTATTTAAAAATAATTTTACAGGTAACTTTGGAATAAAATATTTGTTAGCTAGTTAAAATCTATTAAGACATGCTGCAAAATTTTTCTCATTATACTTAGAATAAAAAACTGTTGTTTTTGGTTTTTTATTAGAAATTGAAATGTAACTTTCTTACTGTTGTATAGGAGATAAAATAAAATATTAGTTTATTTACTTGAATAGACGACAAATACACACTGTGTTAACGGTAATTATAAATTTTAATCTTTTATACAAGAACTTTCTTCACCATTACTCTACTAGAAAATAATTCAGTTTTTTTTTTTTTTTAATTAGGTAGTTGATATGCATACTAATTAATTCCTCAGATTCTTACAGTTGTAATTATTTACTCAAATGATCAATTCATGAGTAAATTCAAATCATCGGATTTAAGTAGCAACAGTAATAAAAATAATTTTTAAAATAATAAATTCAAAAGATTATTCTGTTATAACTAAACGAACATGAAATTTTAAATACCTTGCAGTATATTTTGACTTCTTCAAAAGTTCTATTATCTGCTGATGAGAAGATCAATAGTAATTTTTCCCATATCATGAAAAAATTTGTGATGAAAATTTATAACAACTTTTGATATAAAAAAATTGTTCTTAACTCTTTCTGAGTCAAACATTAATAAATGACAGAACCACGCTTAGAACTAAATTGCCATTATATAAAGTTCAATCCAATATTAAATTAAAAGTCATTGGATAATGTATGAAAACAAATTTATACGGGTGAAGAGCAGGTACATTCATCACATAATTGATTTTTGGTATTGTTAACCTAAGAATAAATTACTCTATAAAAAAAATTTACATTTTATTGTGAATGTATTTACATATTAAGAATATTCAATTTTTGCAACTAACCAATTGTAAAAAACAACAGATTAATAATAGATTAATAATAAGATGAAACAATGTAATACAGATTAAAGTAGGCCAAAAAAATCGACAATTTTTTTTGTTTTTTTTAATTGTCAAATACATACCGAACATTGATCTGTTTTTACGATTTGATTTTATAACTTTCGAATTCTTTCACTAATCAGCAACTCAATGATTCGGAATGACCGACCAAAGTGAATTCACTCAAAAGCTTCAAAAATTATTTAGAGTTAAATTGGAAGTTTTAAAGTAAAAACATGTTAAAAAAATCAAAAATTACAATTGTAGACCTTTAAATATTTTTATTAAGGACTTAAATTTCCACAATATTTTTTACCCCACTTCAAATAATATTTTTGATAAAAATATTTTACATGAAGATTGATTGTAGGTAAAATGAGGTTAATATGGCTGAGAAAAATTGTAAAATACATAATACACTTGTTAAAAATGAAGATGTTTAATTAAAATTTTAAATGTATTTTATTTCAGATTAAAAAACAATCAAAATTCATAGAATATTACCTGTTTTTTTTTAACTCCTCAAAATTTATTATCAGACTATTCAAAGATAATAGTATTCAATCCAAAAATAATCGCGGAAGATAACGCAAACAACGAATACTTTATCTTAACTCACTTTATTATTTTTGAGACACTAAAAAAATCCCATGATGTGAAGAGAATAGTAATAAAGTAATTCATTGATAAAACAACAACTGGTTCGCGTCACGTTCCGTAGCATAACAGTCGCACGCTCATCGTCGTAGTCATGTGATTCGCAACGGTCCCGCGAGACCGTGAGCTCTTTCTATATCTATTTACCATGTAATGTAGTATAGATGAAGAACGAAAAAAAAAAAAAAAAAACGAAATATAAATGTTGAGTACAGTAGTCATTATACGTAGAGTTATATATAAAGGTACTGCTCACTATTGTGAGAGCAAAACACGTTCATCGAGAGCCGAGCTTAAACTGACGTTCCTCACGCTGAGTCACTAAATTCGCGTCAGTAAAAGTTAGCTTGCGTCAGCTCACACCTTTACCTGCTTCACTACTGCGCTCTAGTCATCTAGTATTTTCAAAATAACACTTAACTAGAAACTACTGATTCTACTCTCTTACTATTATTATTATTATATTGATACTGTCATTCTAATACGTCGTATCCCACAAAATTTGACAAATTGACTTTTTTTGAAAAATGGAATCATAACAATATTATGCAAGTCATATAAAAATTTTAAAGGTCACATAGTTTAATAACTATTTTTAAATAAATATTTTCATCTGTCAAATCCCATTTAATCAATGTTAAAAATGAATTGTTTTTACTGTCTGTTGTAAAATTTTCTAAATGTGGGATACGACGTATTAGAATGGCAGTATCGATATATCCGAACAAAAACAGTTTCACTGTAAAAAAATCGCGCCAAGTCCACGTTCATAAGACTATTAAGAAAAAAAAATTAGTTTTTTCTTTACAAAAAGATATAAAAT